CCTGCTGAATCTGCACAGAATCAGCTTTTTAGTTATGGTGCTGATAAGGGTTATTATAAATGTTAATTAAAATGATGAGTGACCTAACAGAAATTAAACATGCATGAATGAGAACTGTTTTAGAAACTGCTCTGAAATACACAGGGAAACATAAATGTGCTTTGATTGTTACAGATTTCCTTAAAAATAGCTAACCTTATATTATCAAACGGTGACATCTTCATCTCTTTTTAGTCTTATGTGGAAAAGCTCAGCATAGTCAAATGGTGCTAAGATAATTACACAAGATGACAGTCTGGCTTCTCAGTATTTCCTACATAGTCAATTTAAAATTCCGGGCCCTTTCAGAGATGGAAACCACCTCAGTGTCCTAAGCTCAATGTAAATAATAAAAATCTTTATATGCTGCAATTATCTGTGTTTTCCAGGAGGTAAACAAAAAGTAATGTATTTTATCATGTTAAAAGTTGGCAGACATAAAGAAATAAAAGACTACTTTTAAAGCTCAGAAATAAAAGAAAATGTTGAAAATGTATATATATGTGAAAAGAACATTCCAATATATAGTAAACTATCTCAGATGTAAGTAGGACTCATGGCAGCAAGCAGAAGAATGACTGATTTGAGAAAACAAATCAGTTAAAAATTAACTGACCACTAAGATGCTTTCTTCAATGGCTGCTGTTCTGACAAGAAGCATCTGACTTACTGCCTTTTACCACCACATGGGGAGACTGGAGGATAATCCTTCTAAATTCATAAGACTGATTACATGAGAAAAGATCAGGAGGATCAAGAACGATGTGCCTTCTATCAGACACTGCACTGCTCAATACCATTATGTGAGAGGTGCCCAGAGCAGGTCTGCCCAAATATTTCTGCGTTCGCAACAGGATTGTTCAAACTTTTGTGACAAATGTAATTTGAATATCCTTATATAAGAGAACCTTTCTGTCCGTCTAATCTGGTATACATTTTACACTTATAAATTAACTCATGTTGGCTGAATATCTGTCCAGCTATTATTCAATCATTCTAAGGAAATCTTTACTTAAGCATCCATTTACTGGCAGGATTACTGAGGTCTATGCCATTAGTCCCACATTTAAAAATGCAGTTAAACCATGGTGCCATTAATCCATATTTGGTAACTAAATATCATCAAAACATTGACATTTTGTAAGTTAATTGCAAAAGTCCCAGAGACTTCTCTAGGACCAAGATTTGTTATTTAAAAACAACCCTGAAGGTCTCAAAATTGTCACCATTTCCATCCTACTTGTACAAAAGGTCAAGTGTCCAAATCCACACTCCTCACACAGGCAAAGCTCCCACTAATGTCATCAGAATCTTTATCTCCATAAGGAACCCAGAACTGCAGCTTTCATCAGTAACATGTTACTAGATTGTCTGCATCCCAATCTAATTAAATAATTAGTCCATAGCGTCAGAAATAGGCAGTCACTCAAGCCTTTATCATGTTTTTGAAAGGATAATTATTTTTCAGATAACTTTGTATGCACTTTGGTGTAACTAGATTGTCTGCTACCCAAATCCTGAGCAAAAAATGACAAGTAGTTAAGCCAGAGAGAAATTTTGCCCCTACTGCCTTGTCAGAATACAAAATGCACAATGAATAATTCTAGATGGCTAGAGTACTTTAAAGATGTCATGTCTATCTACTTTCTATTGTTGACACAATCCATATCAAAATAGCATAGTGTTTTTAAGTCTTAAGTACATGACAACATTGACAAACCCACAGTGAGACATTTTCATGCTTCAATCACCACCCCTTTATAAGAAGAGTGAGTGTAATGAAAGATCACAACAACAATAAATCATTGAAAAAACATGGGACTCCACTTATAGTGCCTGGTAGCACTATAGGTAGGGATTATGTCATTTTTCAACCTGGAAAGGTACCAACAAACGTGAGCAAGCTCCTCATCCTGACTAATGCTTCAGAAAAGAAAAGCAGAGGAAAAGATACAGACCTTCTGTAATTAACTTACTAGCCAGAACAGTCTACCCACACAAGATTATAGACCTGTTGACTGTGAGATCTAATAGTGTTTTAATTCAGGATTTAATAGTACTGAGAAATAGGAAGCCAGGCAGGACCACTACCCTAATAATTTACCTGACATTATTCCCAGGGTCTGGCAGAGTATGTGATTCAAATATTCGAAAGTAAAACAATAGACAGCATAAAATTTGGTATGTTCATTAGTATTCTTTAAATATTAACTGATAACACAGACATGATAAAGAAGAGTACAATTACATTACATCTTTTGCTAAGGCATTATTTCCAAATAAAACTAAGAACTAAGAAATAGTTAAACAAGGAGTATGCCTTCTGGGGAATCAAAATCTCACATCCTGGGCCTGTAAGAAACAATAATAAAGACTATATATTTGCTTCAATCCACCATGTATTTAAATTATTGCATTATTCCTTTTAATTCAGAGTTATTTGAAGACAAAGATTTAACTGAGGATTGAAAACTCAAGGAATAATATTCCTGGTTACAGTAGGATATAAAATTATATAAATGGTGAAAAAATGCTTCAAAAGAAGCGACGGCTTTTGTATTAGATCCATAAAGGGAATGAAATGTTCTGATGCTGAAATAACAAGCCCTCATTTTTAGAGGTCCTGCACTGGAATCCACAATCCTCAGTGACATGAAGCAACAATAGAGCGTGGAGAGATTCTGGTGCTTCCAACTCAGATTATGCGGCCAGAGCAGTGATTGTTCTGGCACCTAATTTAACCACTGGAAACCTATGATACAAAGCAACTTAAATACACCTTCAAGTTGCCAGCACTCGTATCATCCCTTTGTAAACTGATCCAGCTTCAGTTTGCATGAGTCTTTTTTTGGGGGGAGCTCTACTGCTCTTTAATGCAAGGGTGAGAGGGATTTTAATTCCAGGTCTATCTGAAGTGACAGGAGTTTCAGGTTCATGGGAATGTGCTGGTCCCCAGAATCCAGGCAGTCTGAGCCTGGATCAAGGAAGAAGAGACAATCCATCCTTTTCTTGAATTTACACCAAATTGTGAAATAAAGTTTATTTGAAGAAGGAAGAGAAAAGAGCAAAGGAAAGCATGGTTTTGCAGCTTAATGGTTCAAACTCCCACGTGGCAGTGAGGAGACCTGGACACTGAACTATTGTCCAGCTGTTGCATGTAAATAGTTGCTCTGGTAACACACAACAGTGGTCCTGGGACCAGGCAGTAGTCTTAGACTCCCTCCTAGGACAAGAAGACATTGCTGGAATCAGGCGCATCCATGTCAAAAATATGAAGCAGTGGGAAAGCACAGGAGAGAGCAAGATGATCAATGACACAACTGGTTGCCCTGAAAATGGAAAGAATGGAGTCCTTTTGTGGTGGAGCTGGTAGCAGGGCAGTCACTTGCTAAGAAGATGTCTCAGTTCTTAACTCATATTCTGCTAGTCCCCTCACAATGTGATCTTGGAGAAGAAACCCAAATATCCAACATATTGTCAAGGCAAAGTATGTTGAAAAAAGCTTCAAAGGCCAGAGGAAGATTGTTAAAATAATTTTAGAGGGAAGTTCTTAAGAAACAAACTCAGACTTGTTAAGATAAGAAGAAATCAGAGCAAAGATACACAATGCAACAGAAGTAGGGCCTCCCTGAATGTCTGGAAAGTAATGAGAATTGAAAGAAACTATCCCAATATAAAATAAAAATGAGGAAAAAATGGAGAGGTAGCCTTTCACCTGGGAAGAACTTGCGTTGTAAATGTTAATGTCTGCTCCTCCATTTTATCTTATCATCTTGATAATAAAAAACAGATTGTCATAAACTCACACTCAATACAGTAAATATCAACTGGAAAAATGGAAACGTGTTCCAATCTGTTATAAAGACAAAGATTCAGTCAACTTACAAGAAAATATTTTAACACATGAACAAATTTCTATTAATCGTGCCTTCTAGAAGAAAAATCCAAATCTTTAATTATTTCTTTGAATTAATTTCTGTTAAAAGAGGAAAGCTCCAAAATTGAAGAAAAAAAGAACATTAAAAATACAAATCAAAAGCTCCCTTTTAGCCTAATTTTCCTGTTTTATGTAAAAAAAAAAAAACTTAAAGCAATATGATAGATTCAATTTCAAAAAGTTGCAAAATAACCACTATGTATGGCAAAGAACAAGCAGAGATTTCAGAGACATGACTGAAAAGTTGAATCTCCAAATGCTGTTAAATATATATTAATTTCGACTTGATTCAGCTTCAGAACTCTAGTGATCTTGAAGATACCAAAGTCAATTTGTTCTGTAATGCTAGTAAGTCACATGTCAAAATACAGTTGTTTTACATCCCTGACAATACTTGATTTTTTGAGT